CGTTTGCTTAGGGCATTAAGGTTTTCAGGTAAGTCCCCCTTCTCTCCCGCTTATTATTCTTTATTCCATAGGTCATCATGTTTGTTTAGTAGCAAAGCATCAGTTCAAATGGCTGATGTATTGCTGTTGTTGATTTTTTGTTGTGGCTCGAATGCGCGCTCTCGGTTAACAAAACAGGGTTGTGATCCACGTGTAATCAATGTAATCAATTAACCGACGAAAAAGAAAAGAGAAGAGGGTCCAGCTCAGGTGACCATGGAGGACAATGTGGATCTACAAGTATCTATGGGACACAAAAATGCGATGGGTTCTGTCAAAAAAGGTATAAGCTGTACGCCGGTACGCAGTACAGACGCTTCGCTTCCGGCAAGCGTCGCCCTGCTCCTACGCAGGATCGAGCCAGTGCCGTCAGATTTCAAGCTCGTTACCTTAAGGTTACTTGGCAGTCGTTAGGGCGAGTTTGCAGTTACGGGCACAGGATCACCTAACTTTGGACAGAGGTATGAAAATAGTGGCCAATACTTATGCTCTCCCATATCAGGAGACGATTCATGGTGCTCGTGCTCTACGCCTCAAAATGTTGCTTCACAGGGCTGAATTCCAAAAGAAAGATATAGACCTCTTCCCAACCCTATGGGAGTAAGGTGCTGAGACCCTGCCTGACCATAAGCCAATGGATCCAAAGGTAATAGGAAAGTACCACTCATTGTAGCTCAGTGGATCGCTAAGAAAAAGTAAGTAAGAAGTAAGTTAGGGTTCATTTTCAAGGCGAAGAAATGATCGCATACTTACAGTGCAATCGCAACTACCGGGACAGAGTGGTCGACTAGCTGTCTCTAGTTCCATAACTCTAAAGGTGCGTTTTAAAATGGGACCCATGGCCACGTAACAGAAATTTCTAATCTGAAGGTGCAACGTGCATAACAAAGAATGAGATCACTCCAGGGAGTTTGACAGAGGCTACTGTGCCACTTCGTAACTTGCATAGCAAGACCAGGATATGTCAGTCTCCCTCAGCAGAACTCCAGTATGAAAGATTGTGTAGAAGATTCCCATGATGGATTCAATGAGGAAATCGAACAGAAATAAGAAAATGGACCGACAAAGCTGAGCGCCACTTGAGGGAGATATGGGGTAACTATCCGTGGACCAGAACGTGGACTGTGCTAGAGTATAAGGTACGTGAGATGTTGATACACCATGTGAACACCATTCCAAGGATGTAGGATGAACATGACGGAAGGATCGATTGAGACGAACACTCCACGAAATCAATGAACGCAGATACAGCATGCCTACCACAAGGGCGCTATTGCGCTGACAGTCAACTTGCGATGGAAAGATGATCGACGAAATCCTTAAGTATCGAAAAGCTGCTGCTTTTCCAGTATAATAGATTTGCGCCTGATGGTGGAACGGTGGAGAAGAGTGGAGACCATCAAAATTGTCACCACCGTCATCGATTGGATACTCTTGTGATGGGCACAGTTGCTCCAACTACGTCTTGAATATTGTCACTTTTATCAACTAGCCTCAGTTGACTAGATCAGGATCCACGCTTTATGCCTATCTGAACAGAACAGTTCATAGTCTATCAAAGACCGCATCATAATTGTTGAATAGTGTAGGAAAATTCCGAACAGCATGACTGAAGTGATTGGGAGCTGAAACCACGCTTCGAGATTCAGATGCAAATGAAAACCCCAAGTGGAGTGGCTATGATGATGAGAGCGTAGAGTGTACGCAGAGTTATACCATAAATTCAGCGTTGACTAGGACACTACCTTAGCTGGCGAGTAAAGACCCCTTGCACCCAAAGTGCTGTTGCCATTATCGAATGATGTTAGACTAACAACTACAAACATTTAATCTTTGGTTAGTTAAAAAGTCAAACAATCTTCATAATTAAAGTTTGATGATCTTTAGTTGATACACTGGTCGTAACAAAGGGCGGTGTGTTGCTTCAGCGTGTGTATCTTAAGAAAACAGGACGCGGCTGAATAATCAATCACTGGTTCCTGATGGGCGTGGTTCCCTGACTTGGCTTCACTGTTTTGCGGGCAGACTATTACACCAAAGACTCCAGATGGTGTGGCCCCAATTGTAGTCTGCACTTCGGCTTGGGCGACCGGGAAGTAAGGCGCACTCCGAAGAAAACATGCATTTATGGGTTGTGTTCTATTTTCTTTTATGATAACTGTACCTTCTTTTGATTTCCGTAGTATTTGATGTTGGTTCTTTGTAGTGGCTAACAGATCATAAGCATCATTGAAGCCTATAGGGTTGTCAGCGTTTCGCGTTGATGCTGTACTCTTACTTGAGCCCTTCCCTCAGCATGTCTGCAAATACTTCAGTGTGATTATTCTCGAGCACAAAACAAAGTAATGGTAAAAAATAAATTACCTTCAAAGTGCACAGAACAGATGGACTGGGGTTGACACGATCATGGCGGCATAATGGGGTTTCTTACTATTAAGTAGAGATTAAACTCGGTGATAAACAATTGAAAAACGATCGAAAAACGAACAACAGAAAAAGTGCCGTTGGTTGTGAACGGGAAACCACGTCAAAATAGCATAGATGCAAGAAATGCAGCGCACTTTATCATGCGGCTCATTTGTACGGGAGTGCGACTGGATGTCTAATACATCGCAGCAGACACTGGTAACGGATACGGTCTCCAACAGAAAGGCAGCCATCGTGTAGACCCGAGGAAAGATGTGGACTGCACAGTTACGTGGGACGATGAACAAAACTAGGCGAAAAGTATAAGTGGCATTGAAGTCGAGGAGGACTGCCCATTCAGCGGCGAGGAATCAAGGGATGAGAAACGCAGAGAATGACCGAGGTCTACTTCGAAGTAAACCAAAGTCTCAACAAAGACTGCCTGTTGCAATCCATACACATGGCAGATATTCCAAAACTTAGCAATGAATTCTTAGCCACTGTGTCACGCAGTGCTTGTGGTCGTAAGTACCTAGTGACCAAGGCGTTCGTTGTCAACCACTACGTCTGTCATTCTAATCCCGGCTACCGCTTTAACTGAATAACTCAGACAAGGGCAAAATCGATCATGGACCAAGCAACGCTAAAGTGTAGTTATTCCCTGCGCATCAACTGATAAATTGTGGCGTGCAGATGTTATGGACGTGAAACGTTATGAGGGCGGCGTACGCTGCTCCAACTTAAAAAAAGCGAAAAACGTTTCTAGTGATACAGGGGAGTCAAAGTGAGCTAGGTTTAAAATAGGAGCGGCGAACCGATGACGAAGTGCGTGGACGTGCCCAAGAGATCCACTACGAAGCCTGAAGTCTGAGAATGGTCGGTTCCGGAAAACTTAGTATTAATGACTGAGAAATTAATATAAGCCTGCAAATTTTAACTGCGGGGCGAGTTGTAACGAATGTGCAGCAAAGTAATGAATAGGAGTAATTGATTAGTAGGAATTAGACATGCTTCATCTAAAAGCCGTCAATTAAATTATTAATCGAGATGATCTACCTATCGGACCAGCGATACTGACTCAACCGCTCCAAACGAGAACGGGAGAACGCTTAGATCGCAATGCCGACCGAGATAATAGATAATGACACACAACGCTGATTACAGTAACTAAGAATGCACCATTTGGCTCTGGCTGAGCATTAGCAGTGATTTTTTCCTGTTCCCGTTCCAAGCGTCTTCTCCGTTCCCGTTCGTCGCGTTCAGCCAACTCCTCCTTCTCTTTCTGGTGACGTTGCATGGCGGAGTCCTGTAAAGAAAAAAAACGAAAAGTGAGCATGAGTGAGGGAGGAGAGTGAACTTCGGATCAGGAGCCAGCGATAAGGATAAATACGGATATCCAAGAGTGACACCAAGATATTTCTTTGAATGCCTACTCGTAAGAAGTTGGAGATGCAGGACTCTGAGTAGACGCCTACACGAACAAGTTATGGTAGTACACCTACCAGCGACCCCAGCAACTAACTTAGAACGTGTGTTAACCATCCTAACAGCGATTTTCACTAAGCCGCCATCAAACTGTTACGGCACATCGTTTGTGGCAGTGTATATTATTATATTACAAATGAGTAGTCCGGATGCCAGCAGCTTGAGACACTAAGCCATGGGCGACGATGATGAACCTGCATGACTGGCAGTTGACTACGATAGAGCAAGGCACATCCACCGCAGGGTGATTTGTCGAATCGTCGCGACTGAAGAAATAAGAAACCTTACTGAAAGCGATTGTACAAGCTTAGTAGTTAGAAATAAAATATTCGGCAACCTGTGTCTCAGAACCAAGACAACGACCAAAGTATTCGTGTTTTGACTGATCTAGTTGATGGATGTGGCGTTTATTATTTTATCTGAGGTCCTCTTCATTCCGGTCAGTGTTGGCATATTTCCTGCGTTGGATGGCGTGTTTACTGCGCCTCTTTTCACTTGCATTATTTGTTGCGCATTATTTATGATTGCGAAGAAATACATCTAAAAATTACACCAAAATCCCCACTACTCATTAGTAATCAAAAATTCGTCCGTACAGCTTCTTAGTGTTGTGTCGTACACAGCCGCTATACAGAAATTCGTAGCTCTGGAACCAACCACTGTTCTCTGCACAGTTCGTAATTAAGATGGCAGTGGAGGATGAGTCGCACTATATAGTAGTCAAATGCCAGTCAGGAAGGTCCACCGCCACCACCCATGGCCTAGTGGCACACGCTGGTAGCTTCCGGAAGTCATGGGGTCGGAACCCGGCAATTGTCCTAGGAACGCGCACCGCTGACGAGATCTAGAGGGTCGAAACGGCTGTCCGGAGCTTTCCCAGATGCGTGCGAGCCTAAGTGACTGAGAGGGGAATGCGATTACCATAGATGATAATAGTGTTATACATCTAATAGAATCACAGTTTCTCATGCATGCACGTCTCGTTCAACTGACATGTAAAATAACTGGTACGGCCGCCAAATGGAGATTTCTTCCGGAAAAGATAGCAGGATGACGTGAACCGTCCAGCAGATGTGTCATAGATTCTCGGGGATAGACTTGTACGCCAGGGGACCACAACTCAAGTTACTCTGAGACACTAGCAGTAGTTGGTGAAACAGGTCAAAACGAGGACGATTAGTTACAAGGGCGACATGACATATCGGTAGCGTCCCGTAGATGGCAAGAAGATGGCCAAACTTCATTCCACTAAAAGTGTGCTACGACTGATGCCTTACTCATTTATCATTCATTATACACGTTAGCTAGATGTGGAAAACACTTCCGCTATTGTGCCACAATCCATGCGAAAAATACGCAACCGTGGCACATCCGCTGTCAACAGTAAGGGATGGACATCGTTTCGTAAAGCCAGCCGCAGGCCAGTGTGTCGCAAAAAAGATTATGCGTAGGAAATGAGGTGTTGGTTGGAGGGGGAGGTCAAGTGGGAGGGGAGGGACAAGGAAAGCCGCAACACAAACGCCATTGAGGTCGGCTCCTAGCCATGTCCACAGGTGTATCTAACCAAACGTGTTCCTCGTTCCTCAGGCCCCAACCAGGAAGCCGAGAGGCTCCAACCGCGGACAGCTTCGAACAAAGAGCGGTCATTCCCACTGACTAAGTCATTGCTTGGCCTCTTCCTCTTCTTCCATCCACATCTCGGTCGCGCAAACAACGCACGTCGCGGGAGTCGGTTTGCTACCATGCGCAACATGTAGCCAGCCATCGGAGCCTGGTGCGTGAAATAACAATGCCAAGCGGCGCACTTACTCTTTCTGTGCCATAAGCAAGGAGTCGAACACACTCGTTGCTCACGCGGCGTTTCCACCAGATGTGGGCCAAACTGGGAAGGCAATGGTGGTCGAAAGTAACTAGCCTCTTTACGTCTGCCGAGCTAATGGACCAGATTTCACAATCGAACAGTAGGGTCGGACGTACGACTGCAATGTAAGTTATACTATCCAAAAGTGATGTCTGATCGGTGCCATAGGTGGCGACAGTCAGCAAAAGCGCAAGCATTTTTCTCTACATGGTTCTTGACCTCGTCTTCGATTCCGCCGGCGCTGATACAACTGTCCAAGAAGTTGGATTTCTGAATGAATTCTAGGTAATCCCGACCAAGGGTGAATACAGAAAGCGGACCCTGCCGAACTTGGAGAAAAGCTTTGCACTTCTGCAGTGCAAAGCCAACACTATTCTGTCCAGTGCAGCTTGGCATGTTTGTGAGCTGTCGCAGATAAGAGAAATATCATAAGCGAATTCCAAGTCAAGACGTCGGATACCTGGGAGCAGCTTTGCAACTAAGAAGTCGTGCTTAGTGAGTACGATTTATAAAACTACTTCCGTAGCGAAGTCCCACAGGGAGGGTCACAGCAGGCATCCCCGTCTCACCCTTAAAGACAATGAAGGTTGGTGACAGCTTCCCGTAAACCCTCGCACCGCCCACGTTATGCGTGCAAAGCGCTAGGGTAACATTTACATATTCCTCGGGCACCCCTTTCTTAATCATTTTCCTACTTTATTGCGGTTAGCTACTGCGACAGGATGAGCCGGTTTCATGAATGTCGCGAATTGCAGCTGCCAAAGCGCGGGCGGTCGGCGGCAAGCTCCACGCAAATACTGATCCAATGACCCCTCCAGTGACGTGCACCATGCACAACATGGAGTCCCAGAAGATCGACATTCGAGTTCACTGCAGAGAACCACGTTTTCATTTGTCCACCACGGCGACACCAACCATGGCAAGGTGAGAGCGAAACCACGGCCTTAGTGAAGGCAGTGTCTTGTCCACAGCAGACATGACCGAACTATTGAAGTCTGCGGCGTAGGATAAGTGTGGAGCTTCAAAGACCGTAACCGCACTTACGGATTTCGTCATTGGTGATACGCTCATGCCACTACGTTTTCGAGACAAGCCTTAGAGACCAATGGTCGAAGACGTCAAGCTTCCGGATGTCGTCGGATCGCACCGGTCATGTTTCGCAACCACAGAGTAAAATGGCACGAATGGTTGCTGAGAATACTCGGATCTTCGTTCTCAGACTAATTTCCGTCCTTCGCCACAATGTGTTTCTCAGTCGTAAGTAGGCTGTTCCAGTGCTGTCAATATGATACCGGATTTCGGACGTATCCTGACCATTGGAGAGGATAGTGGATCCAAGGTAGATGAATTCAGGAACAGATTTGATGAGTTGTCTAGGTAAGGAGAGCGACGGGGCGGACTGGGTGGCTGATGATGAGAAGTACTTCGTCTTGCTGACGTTAATTTCAAGGCCGGTTAGAGATTTCATCTGCAAATTCTAGATCTGACAGTCAGAAGTCAAAGCTAACTTGAACACCACAATAGCCCTTAAGAGCATGATGCATAACCTAGTCGACTGCGAAGTTGAACAGCACTGGAGAAAGTGGGCAACCCTGCCGGACTCCAGTATTGATGTCGAATTCCTCCGTTTCTTCTCCATAGATCCGAATCCGGGCCTTTGCGCAACGGCAATATGATCTCATCAAGTTAACGAGTTTAACCGCCACGCAATCAGCAAGTAGGATTCTCCAGAGCGCTTCACGGTCAACTGAGGCAAAGGCAGCTCAAAAATCAACGATGCACACAAACGTGAGCTGCTGGAACTGGTAGCAGTGTTCGCGTACTCGACGTAGATTGAAGATTTAGTCAGTGCAGACTCTGCTTAGACGAAATCCACCTTGGTTATGGCGATTTCGCAGATTCCTCCCATTGACAAAGCGGGGAAGAAACATTCGTGCGAAGGCTTTGGCAGCCACATCGAGTAGGCTAATCCCGCGACAAATGCTGCGCACAGTTCGGTCATCCTTCTTGAGTAATTGGCAGTAGTACTGAGGTAATACACGAGGAATGACAGATGTCGGTCTCCCATATCGAGCGGAAGAGCAAGTGCAAATACTCAAGAAGAGCAAGTACGCAAGATTTGTAGTTTTCGGCTGGATTCCCGTCTGCTCCAAGAGCTTTCTTCGGCTTCAGACAAAGAACGATATCTATAACTTATTTGGGAGATGGCGGTGAGCAATGTGCGTCATATCCTGACGGAGATAATGCTGAAATGGGTGCAGTGGTGTGTGGTGGGAGGTTTAAGAGGTTGCTAAAATACTCTACCTATCTGAAAAATTTTCCTTCCGTATCGGAGATGATTCCGCTTTTCACAATGCGCAATATCGGCTGTGGTGAATTGCGCTTTCCGGAAGCTAAACGAAAGAGACGACCCAAATTGTCAGAACTTGATGCCGCTTCCATGTTGCCTGCGATAACAGACCAGTAGCGTTTGCGATGATTCCGTGCTAAGCGCGTTGCCTCACAGCTCAAGCGAGAGTAGTCTGTGGAATTCGTGAGACATGCTTCTCTCGCTTTAGCGGACCAGCTGATAGTACCTGCAGAGATTCCCTTCCTTCAAGGGCTTAGAGGTAGAGCCCAGGATAGATAAAGCGGCGCCTAGATAAACGAGCGTCTGCAGACTCCTCTTCTGCAGTTACGAGACATTGTGCACTGGCAGCATTTTCTGCTTCTATTGCTGCCTCAACAGATCGGCACCGGTCAGTATTTTCCAGTGGGTCAGTGTTGATACGCTTTGGTGGAACGGCCTTTCGGCGCGTTGTCAAGCGGAGTCTGAATTTGGCGCGCAGGAGTAGGTGGTCAGAACCACCTTTATTGCCTCTTTCAGTCTCTCTGTACGTTCGCCAGTCATCGATGAAGGACATCCACTCGGATTGGATTCAAATGCAATGTATTTGGCTAGCTGTACGATCACCATTAGA